CTTGTCATGCTTGCAATCTGCTCCCTCATGCTAAATTTTTTTTCTAGAAAGACAACTGAAACTGCATGCACACACAGTATTAGAAATACCCATCTGCAGTCTGCATTTTGCAGAGACATTTTCAATATTGCATAAGAAAAATTAAGCAACCTGCAATTTTGCAAACTGAAAAAATCAGGCTAGGGTTTCAATAGTGTTTAAGAGCTTTGGTGTTTACTATTGACTCTATGATATACAAACTTATATATACAAATTTGCATGTATTGCAAAATGTTTGCAAACATTCAATTTTGTATGTGCCATGGGTTTACATGTAGATCCAGACCTTTAAGTGTGAACTTGCAGAAAGTATTTCCAAATTGCAGGACATAATTTTCACATCCTGCAATATTGCAGATCACTGAAATAAAGTATTTCTACCACTGCATATTATTTATCAAAGGAAAACATATTATTTATCAAAGGAAAACATATTATTTATCAAAGGAAAACATATTGTTCCTGGTCTGTTTCTTCCTCTTCCTCTACTTCTTCTCCAAACAGTGACCTCTGACCTGACCAATGACATGATTTGTTGACGTCTGTCACCATGGTGACTGGTGTTGGGTTGCATAATGTTGCGATTTCATGGTCTGACTCTGGTCTGCTCCTGTCTCGATATACTAAATATACTATGTGAATGTGTTTGAGTAAGAATTAACGGAGCAGACCATGTCCGAAGGTAAACATATATGCATTTGTTTTGCAAATGTTACTTCTGTAGTAACTGTTTACTTTTAGAATAACAGATAATTGTGCTTGTGTAACGCCAATATTAGTAATTTATTAGTACTTTGTTAATGCACATACAGACTAAATGTGTTTTCACAGATGGTTTTGATAATACTTTATACTCAATAACTTTGTAAGAAGGAAATTTTATGTCAGTATTCTCCAGTAAATGTTAAGCTCATTTCACTCAATTTGATTCATATAGAAAGGTAGGCAGGCCTAAATCTGGTTAGACTGTTCCTGAACTTCAGCCACCGTGTTTAGCTGGAGTTTGGGGGAAGGTTCTGAATGTTTGATCGGGGGTTAGGGTGCTCATGACACCAAAATATGACTTTTACTGATTGTAATTGACATAACTAGTATTACCTGGCCAACGGACACATTTACAATAAATAATTATGCACTGTTCTCGTGTTACATTCGAATTTCGAAATTCTAATGCCCTGCCTTGGAAAAGTCAGTACAAGCCAGCACTGGCAGGTGATTTGCATCTCTACATTTTATTTTTGCATGTCTATATTTTTTCCTGAGCTGACGCCATCCAGTGATGTCAGCTCAGGAAAAAGCACAGAAATAAAACATACAGATGCAAATAGAGATGCCTGAAGTGGGCGATTGGGAAGCTTGCTGGAGAGTCTCCACCAATTCACTTTTAGAAGGTTGTACAAACTCAATTTCTCAGTCATCATGATTGGAACAAACTTCAAGTGACTATATTGTACACTTCCAATATTTGTATGTATTTTATGGACTTTTTGTGGTGTTATTTGGTCTTTAAGGCTGATTGTTTTGTTCTCAGGTTGCAGGAGGAGGGAGAGGATGAAGATGCCATGATGTCATACCAGAGGGCTTTAGTCATCAACCCTGACTTACAGGAAGCCAAGGAAGCTTTGGAGCAAGTCAGGACAAAACTAGAGGTGAGAAAAAAACCTGGAGTCTGCTCTCCTAACTCAACAGGGTTCTCTGGATGGGACAGTGCACAGCTTTGTTGGTATGATTTATATGAGATAACACCAATTTAATTTTTGTTAGGCCACACCAATTTAATTTGTTGTTTCTGTTGTTTCTCGGATTTTTTCAGAAAAAATATGAAGCGACAGGATGAAAAAAACAAAAACAGGCCAAGGCACCCCATGATAGCCAAAAATGTTCAAATATGAGCCATGAAGTGAACATACCAGGCTGGTTTATAATGAAAACAATAATTTGAACTTTTAATGAAACAAAGTTGCATTGTTACTTTGAGAAACTGTAAGAACTAGGAAGAAAAGTACTTTCGTCAACCAATTATCTTTCATTGAGCATTTTGCAGTTACATGTAATTTAGACCCCCCCCCCCATTTTTTTTTTGCAAATCAGAAAAAAATGGACAGGGTGATCCAAAAAGCAACAAGTTAAATTGGTGTGGCCTTAGTTTGGAATTAAACAAAGTTGTATCTAACGCCTGGAAGATGTACATGTAGTTGAGAGTCTGGGAGAAAGTCTGCCACTGTTCTCAACCAGATCTGATACTTTGTAAAAAATATGTCTGAAAACCAGGTAAAAAAACTGTTGTGGCCTGGAGACCTGCTATTATATGTAGAAACATTTTGCAGTTATGTTAATTTATGGTATACTAAATGGCGCAGCAGTTAGAGTGTTGGACCTATAGGTCCTGTTCGATACTCACCTTGTCCTGCTCGACTTTTTTACCCAATTTTTTCAAGTAATTTGAAGTTGTGATCAGGTCACAGACCCCTGACTTTTTTTGCCCTGCGGTGGCGTAGTTACTTTCGCATTCGTTGCGTTTCGCTGCGGTGTGACGCGTTCCATGAGAAACACCCCCAAATCGTACCTACACAGGGCACTATATAGATGGTACTGTATGTACAACCCGTATATATATGGGTCCCGCAGGACAAGGGTTAAGACTCGGCTAATCTGTCTAGAATTAAATGTGTGACAAAAACACACTATGGATTTGGTTCCTTATAATTACTATCAATTAGTTAAAAATCTTCTTTTCAGAGCCACTAACTAATCTAAATGTGCCTCTTTTTTCATGACCCCTGGAAACGACTGCCTGTGTTGACATTTCCTGGGAAAAATGGCATCACATCCACCGGTAACCTGGTGGACAACCTCAACATACTGACTTGGATAACCTCAACTCACCTGTATAACTGATGATGGGTAACCTGGACTGTTTGATGACCTCACGGTGGACAACTGTAACGTCGATGTGTTGATATGGACATCCAAACTGTTGTTACTGACAACTTCAACACTGGCTACTGTGGGTTACTGTCATTATGTCATCTCCGGTGGTAATGTACATCAAATTAAACATCACACACTCTTTCACGTGTTAAAATTATCTACGATATCATGTGAAACATGTAACAAAATGCTTGACATGGCTGATATGTCTGGAACTTTTGATGACATTTTAAAATTCCCGATACTGATTGCTGAATTTTTCAATCTGTGTGCACAACCATTGTCATGTTTGTTTGTCTTTGATCATATTTCTGCTCAATACCATGACTGGCTCAAACTGCATGGTATATTGCTTTCTTCATTATTGTCTGGATTTTTACATACTTGTACATTGATTTGATTTTGTCATTGACTGAGTGTTTCTGTTTTTTTATATTCCAACTTAATAATATATTGAACTTGATGAATGACTAAAACATTTTGCACATGTTCCTCCTCACGTGGGTATGCTTTGATTGCCTTATTTGTTGTTGCTATAAAATGTTGTTGCTATGCAATGTTGTTGTTGTTGCGGTATGATGTTGCTGTGCAATGTTGTTGCTGTACAATGATGTTGTACAATTCTGTTGCTGTACCATTTTGCTGCTGTGCAATATTGTTGCTGCATGTATGATGTTGCTGTACATTGTTGTTACTGTGCAATATTGTTGCTGTACGATGTTGCTGTACTATGTTGTTGCTATGCAATATTGTCGCTGCATGTATGATGTTGCTGTACTTTGTTACTGTGCAATATTGTTGCTGTACGATGTTGTTACTGTGCAATATTGTTGCTGTACGATGTTGTTACTGTGCAATATTGTTGCTGTACGATGTTGTTGTCGTATGATGTTGTTGCTGTACGATGTTGTTGCTATACAATGTTGTTGCTGTACGATGTTGTTGCTGTACAATGTTGTTGCTGTACAATGTTGTTGCTGTACAATGTTGTTGCTGTACAATGTTGTTGCTGTACAATGTTGTTGCTGTACGATGTTGTTGCTGTACGATGTTGTTGCTGTACCATGTTCCACTCTCCGCTGCCCTGGCTGTGGTAGAACCTGAAGACTGCGAGTCAGGTGGACATGACCAGTGGAGGAGAAGAATTACCTGCTGAGTTGTCCTTTGCACAACGTTCGAAAGAAAAGCTTCAGAAGCTACTGGATGTGGAGGGGAGCAGCAAGGACAAGAGCGGGTTAGTGTGAACAGGACTTATGGTTTTGAAGTGGCCAGGGTCACAGCACTTCTGCAGACAAATGTGATTAAGTTGGCAACCAAACTTTAAGTCAAAGTCACAGTTAGAGTTGACTACTAATAGTGATGTACTCCATAATCTTGAAAGTCATCAGTCCATATGCATGTACGATGTACATGTATGGATGATAATGCAGGGTCTCCACAAAGAAATGTTAGAAAAATAAAAGTTAGAGAGAAATATGTTTTCTCTGTCTGCTCTTGTATTGACAGTTGTGTCTTCTTCCCACTGCAGGAAAAAAAGAAAAGGAATAGAAAACGGTCCAGCTCCAGTTCAGATGAAGACAAAGGAAACAGAAGCAAACAGAAGAAAAGGCAACAATCCTCACCAAGAAGGAAGTCAGACATCGGTTCAGACCCAGATGGCCGCAGAAGGAATAGTTCTAGTAGCACACACAGGAATGGCAGTACAGGGACGGGACATGGACGTAGTGCTGAGGGAGGGACAGGACATGGACGTAGTGCTGAGGGAGGGACAGGACATGGACATAGTGCTGAGGGAGGGACAGGGACAGGACATGGACGAAGTGCTGAGGGAGGGACAGGACATGGACGTAGTGCTGAGGGAGGGACAGGGACAGGACATGGACGTAGTGCTGAGGACAGGGACAGGACATGGACATAGTGCTGAGGGAGGGACAGGACATGGGCGTAGTGCTGAAGGAGGGACAGGGACAGGACATGGACATAGTGCTGAGGGAGGGACAGGACATGGATGTAGTGCTGAGGGAGGGACAGGACATGGACGTAGTGCTGAGGGAGGGACAGGGACAGGACAGTGGACGTAGTGCTGAGGGAGGGACAGGCCTTCGACATAGCACATGGGAAGGGCAGAGAAGGCACTCAGCAGAAGACATGTATCACAGGTATGTGGGAGAGCTGAAGACAGGGCAGGAAAGACAGGGCATGTCTGTAGGAGTGAGTGACATGGGAGGACAGAGTGGTTCAGATCAACAGGACAGATACACAGGACAGAACAGACGTGTACATGTGGAAGAACTGACAAGACAGTCAGCAAGAGACAGTGACAATCTGACTGAGCTGAGAAAAAAAACGACCAGAAATTTGGGACCAGAAAGTGGAAGCAGTAGGCATCAGGGCTATGTAGAAGTACACAGCAGACATACAGACAGACATACAGAAATTCAGATTAGACAGAAGGAAAAACAAAGTAGACAAACAAGCTATGATGTTGAATCACAAAACAGACATACGGAAGGACACTACAAACCTGTAGAAGGAAAAGAAAGACACGCCAAAGCACATAATACGTATTTTGAGGGACAACACAGGCATACAGAAGGACAGAGCAGTCACACAGAAGGAGAGAGAAGTTACTCTGAAGCACAAAGTGCTCATGTGGAAAGGCAGGATAGATACTATATGGACAGAAGTGAGAGATCTAGAGACAGACATACAGAAGTACAGGGCAGAGATGTACAGGGCAGAGATGTACAGGGTAGAGATGTACATGTCAAAGGACAGAGTGAACATGCGGGACACAGTCAGCATGTCAGCAGACAGGACAGACACAGGACAGAACACTACAGGTATAAGGAGGGTGACAGGCCAGGCGATTATCAACAACAAACTGCTGACAGTAAGACAGCAAGGAACAGGGACAGGAGAGTGAGTGAACATGGAGGTCATCGGTCTGCCTCCCCTGTAACACATAAACACAGGGCAGGAAAACACCATAACAATAGGTAGCATAAATGGCTCCACCCCTGAGGCATCGCCAAAAATTAGACTTGAGTCAGAGAGGGCAGAGAAAAGTCAAGTAAGTTGTTACATGGCTGGACTTATGTTAAGTCGCCTTTCTGCTGGAGACTTTTTTCCAGCCAAAATTAGATTTTTTTTTAACTTATGATTTATAGGAGAATGTTGTTTAAATGAAGTACACATAGTCTAACTACATATTATAAGACAATGCCAATCAGTCTTTAATGTGTTTATAGTGCCATAAGAAAAAAAGTGCCAAGGAAGAGAACTTGACAATCTTGCCTTTGTTGGACAAGAATTTCTCTCACACAGTCTCAGTGAATCTACCAACCATTGTCATTGATAGTAAATAGTGCAACATAATTTCAAAGACAGCAAATCCATATTGTATAATTCTTTTTACTGTGGGATTCCTTAAATTTGAAATTTATAAATGATTTCTTTATATCTGTAATAGCATTGAACTTAAATCCTGTATGTACATTTGCTATTAATATTGTTTTTATTTCCAGGAACACTATTATAGTACTTCTCAAATTGTACATGTATGTTAGCTAGTGAATGAGATATTCAAGTGTCCAACCATAGCTTCTTGCCATATTCTGTAGAATTAATTCTATCACAATTATTATATAGTGCACAACATGTGGTCTCCATCAATAACATAGCTGAAGGCAACCTGGTATGTTGAGTTAAGATTTTTACAAACATTTTACAAAATCTTTAAAGGTGGTCCGAGATGCACCTGGTGCAAGTATTATAATAATAATGTTTATCTTTAATGAAGAAAACTTGAAGATGTTATTATTTCTCTGTTTCTTCTTGAGTACTGAGTGGGCCTAGTAGTGTTGAATATTAAGACTTGATGATTGAATAAATGTCAAGAAATCATATCAGGCTAACAACTGCGTGATTAGTGTGTCATGTTTTTTTTTTCTTTACTGCAGCTAAAGTTACGAACTCAGGAGCACACCCTTTGTAGTTTCTTGCCTTCATTTAAACCTACTGTGTCAAAAGAGTTTTTTTCACTGACCTCACCTGTTCCTGACAAAAAAAGCTACCAGCAATCAAACAATCAAGACTATACCATGTCCAGGACAAAATATACAAAAACCGGAAGTACCAAGGCCAGCCACGGGAAGGCCTAAGTTTGACCTTAACCTTTGTCTTCCTAAGACCTACCAACATACCATGTAGGCATTTCGTCGGTCTTACAAGACCATGAAAGTACTTCATCTACCAACATACCAAATATCATCACAATTCATATAATTTTTCATACGCATAGACTACAATAATGCCATATTAAATCCTTTGTTATATTCAACAAGAAATTCGAAAAAAAAATATTTTGAAACTTTATCGTTTCAGAATCAAAACCTATTTTGTCATGAATTTGGATTTTGAGATTCTCAGTGTGAACAATGCAGCATGAAACGAGGGGGGTGAAGTCTGCTATCTTTGTCTAACAAAACAATGTGTTTTTCTGTCTTTGAACCCGGCTAGTTTGGGCAGATATGAGAAAACAGCGTGTTTAGTTGACTGTCCACCATGTTTAGGTCTGGATGAATGTTGTCTTTTCCCGGCTGACACACGCTCATGTCCCACGTGTCCAACACAACCACGTCTGGATCCGCCCGGAACATCTCTCGTATCACCTCCGTGATCTGGTAAGCCAGCCAGTCGCTTCCTAGCACGTAGAACGCCAACTTTCCTCTGTCGTGATTTCGAGTTGTAGCAGTTCTCACGAAAACCGGCGTGTCCGGAGCCCTGCGCTTCAGACGGTGTATGGCAGCTCGTATGGCGTACAGTCTGGACCGGAACATTTCTAGCGGCTCTGCCGTAAAGTGAGCCCACAGACTCAGGACTATTACCGTGTTTGGGCCTCCCTGAATGGAGTCTACCATGTCGGGGATGTATCTGTAGTTAAAAAACACATTCCAACTTTTCCCTTGTGAAGGGTAGTGGTGGAACTGGAACAGTACAGTGATGTTCCACTGGCTGTTGGATCCTTCTCTAATATTCGGTGCTCTTGTGGGTCCGACCTTAACTGTAACAAAAATGTAGCAATTCCAAGTATTACATTTGACAGTGTAACATATCATGCTTACATATAATCATGTAGACTGTCGATCTGTCTAAAATGCAACAAAGCCATTGTCTGCTTTATGACCTTTTTCGTTTCAATTTGGCGACCTCATACAATGTGTACCTCCATGAAATATATGAGTCATTCTAAATGTTTTACACACTACACTACAGTACAGAACAAAATAACACAGTTTTTTTGTTTCAAGCACCTTTGGCCTGGATATGGTCATGTAGGCTTTTCCCCCGAGGGAGAAACCCATTAATCAACCCGGGCAGGTGCTGCCTCCACCCTGCACATCTGTTTTCCCTGTCACCCCACACATCTGTTTTCCCTGCCACCCCGCACATCTGTTTTCCCTGCCACCCCGCACATCTGTTTTCCCTGCCACCCCGCACATCTGTTTTCCCTGCCACCCCGCACATCTGTTTTCCCAGAAGTTCTGCTGCAGTTACCAAGGGCAGCCACCAGAAGGCCCATATTTGACCTTGACCTTTGGCTTCCTAAAACCTACCAGCATGCCAAATATCATCATAATCCATGAAGGCGAGGTAATAATATCCTAAAGAAATCCCAGTTCAAGATAGAAATAAGATCATTTATGATAAGTTCTGTTCATGAGAGATAATCCTACGCGGACATTGAGGTACCTACATAAGCAGACTTTTAGCGGCAACGTTTGTTTCTGTAACTGTGTACAAATAGGTATCATATATCAAAGAATGTTTATTCCTTAGAACAAGTAGTATTAGTTGGCTCGTCTATTGTTTTATACGTTGTACCCATGTCCCGTTGACCAATGTCCCAAATTGGTGAATATCCATGTATTTGTATATCTACATGCAGTTTTAGACCTTACGAAAGTCGCTGTACTTTTGTTGTGTCAATAAAGTCCTTTTCAAATTCTCGGTGAAGAACGACAAGTGCGCGCTTGATTTGTGTCCATCGCATTTACGTGTAATAATAATAAAAAAAAGGCTGCAAAAAGCCTAAATTAGGTTTGGAAATGACAGTCATTATTGACTGATTGTTGGCTATGAGGTACCAGGCTAGGCATGTAAGGGGCCTGAAGGGGGGGGGGGTCCCGACAACGCTCTACGCTGAATTCGGAGACCTCTCGATTCCGTTTTACGATACATTCCAAGTACATTCCACATTATGTAGAATTAAAATGGTGAATACGCTCTACGCAAAACGCGCCAATTACGCTCCACGTTGAATTAGAGCGGCCCATCTACGCTCTACGTAAAATTAAAACGGCCGATTACACTCTACGGAAAAGGGCTTGCAGGCCCCCATGTAAGAACATTAACTGACCCGTGGTGGTACTTGTGCTGGTGAACAGCGGCACAACCGCATGCAGACGGTCCTTCCACTGACGCAGCGACGAGTCACCTGGAGTAACATTACAGGAAAGACTGTAGAATAAATACATGATCGTCTTACATCTATAGGTTACATAAATTCGTAAAATGTATCCAACTTTATTTCCGGACAATGAACACTAACTACGAAATAACAATCAATCAATCAATCAACCAACCAATCAACCAACCAATCAATCAATCAATCAATCAATCTTGGTTTATTGTTCAATCGACTTTGCAGCACTACTTGCATGTATGTAGCCTGGTATCCAGTCTTACGTGATTGGGGGTATTGGGTGTTCGGGCAGGTTGTGCCTTCGGGGGCTCTAATAGCTTTCCCCGCCCAGTGCAACAGACCGTCCCGTTAGGAGAGTTACGCTAATAAGAGGCAGTATGCTTGGGGATTTGGTTTCCCCCAACACGTGGAGGGCTAATCAATCTCTCGTGAAATACACACCGGGAAACCTATGTGAGGCGGGCGGGACACAGCTCTTTCGGCCCCGACCACGATCAGACTGGATACCAGGCTAGCATGTAGGCTGAATTGTGCCAATTGTTACATATGTACATCATCTCATCAGATGATGTACATATCAATGTATCATATTGAAAAAGTTGCGAAAATATTTACAAATCCACTTTGTTAAATCCACTACAATAAAATCATCGGTATTAGCAACGAGACATTTAAAATCCGTGATCTTTGTACAACATTAAATCCAATTACTACATAGGAAGATATGTGATGTCATTTTCTTTCATTAAGTACTCTCAGCAGTGACGGTATCGGACTATTGCTGAACCTTGTTGTGCGAGTTATGGGAAGAGTCAGTGTCTTTGAGTTCCTAAGGCAACGTCCATGTGACTCTAGCCGTGTTGGGGGCAATGGACTGTATCTAACATATTCAGAAGTGCAATCAATGACCACTAACGATGATACGTACCTTGCATGTACACGGTCTTGTTAGCCAGGCACAGCCGGATATCTTCCTTACTGAACACTCGGACATCGCAGACGGATGACGTCCACACCTTGCCTGACCAATGTCCCAAAGCTGCAGACTTGTCCCAGGTACACGCTGGAAGGTGTTGAGGTGTGGGAAGTTCTGCTTTAAGGACATTTATGGGCTCCTTGGGGTCTACTTGAAGTTCCTCTTCAAGATATGGCCTGTGTGGCGTGGAAAACACCGACAAGGGGTGAGTGAGTGAGTGAGTGAGTGAGTGAGTGAGTGAGTGAGTGAGTGAGTGAGTGAGTGAGTGAGTGAGTGATTGATTGAGTGAGTGAGTGAGTGAGTGTGGGTGAATGAGTGGGTGTGTCCGAGTGTGAGTGAGTGTGTGTGAGAGAAAGTGTCCGATCCGATTGTGCGTGAGTGAGTGAGTGAGTGAGTGAGTGAGTGAGTGAGAGAGAGAATGAGTGTGTCCGAATGTGTGTGTGAATGAGTGAGTGAGTGACTGAGAATGAGTGTGAGTGAGCGAGCGCGTGAGTGTGTGGGTGAGTGAATTAGCAATAAACCATTTTTGATTGATTGTGTCCGATCCGAGTGTTTGTGAGTTAGTGACAGAATGAGTGTGTGTGCACATGTGTGTGTGAATGAGTGAGTGAGTGAGTGAGTGAGTGAGTGAGTGAGTGTGAATGAGTGAGTGAGTGAGTGA